TGTCCCCTCCTCTCTGTCAGCCCAGCATCCCTGGGACGGTGCAGAGGACAGCTCTCGTGGTGGAGAAACAGTTTTGCCGCTCAGGATCCTAGAGGTGAGAGCCAAGTCTCACACGCAAAACTCCCACCTCTGGGCGACTTTTCAGATTTAACCCCGGACCTGCCCCGAAACATCTGTACCCTGGACCTCGGCCTGACCTGCCTCCACCCACGTATATAGAATTTTCTAGACCCTAGAGCTCTTTCTTCACACATGTGCATGGATTGAAAAGGTGCTGGCCACACACTAACCCCACCCAGGTGCGAGCCCTGGTTCCTGGTAAACAGCCCCACACGCTCGGGAATGGCTGTGGCCAGACTCCCTCCTCTCTTGGTGCCGGCCCCCGAGCCAGGCTCTGCCAGTTCATAGGTGGCCTACCAGGTGCGCGCCATGACAAGGAAGCATTTCTACATGTTCTGTCTGTAATTGCTTGACCCGTCTCGTCTGAGATGCCTCGTGCGCCGGGGGCCTCCTCCCGCCCCAGTGACGCCTCTCCCGCCACCGCCCGGGATGCACGTGTGGACACAGGGGCCACAGCCCAGCAGGAAGTACCGACATGGCCACCTCTGGTGCTGGCACTCTGCCGTCTCACCAGGGTACACCGGGCAGCACTCTCCTTCGTTCCATTTGAAAAGGGGGAAGTTAAACTGAGGAATGAAGTTGAACCCAAACCTGCCATGCAAATAGTTGACCCTTTTTTTGGATACACTTCATGAGGCTGAGACCAGATTGTGTGGCCTCCAGCTGCCTGAGTTTCCATCTCCTCTAGGGCATTTTCAGGAGACTTGAAGGGATGAGCAGCGGGGTGGGGACCCCCGGAGGTGCAGCTGCTGGGCCCGCTTTCCTGCCACGCACCGGGGCTGTGAGGAAGACGGAACCACAGCGTGGTCCAGCGGGCGGCCCAGCCCAAGGCAGCGAGCTGTGAGGTATGACCGCCCATCAGTGGTGTCCTTGGAGGCAAGCACACTCTGCCACCTCTGGGCACATCTCAGGGGCCACCTGAATGCCAGCCCTCCTCATCTCCATCCCCACCAGCTGGAAGCAGATGGTTCCTTGACAATATGTGAGGCTGTGTTGTTTTGTAGGAATGTAGGGGCTGATTTCGTGTATCAGCCAGGCTAGACTAGGCTTTTAGGTAACAAACTGCCAATCTCAGTGCCTTAACACGATGAAGATTTATGTCCCAATCATGACAAGTCCCGCGCTGAGGGAACAACCCTCTCCCGTCAGATCGCTGCACCAGCCGGGAGATGTGGCCTCTGAGGTCGCCACGGCAAGCAGAGAGAACCACAGGATCATACAGGATGTTTATAAAGGGCCCCTCCCCACTTATTCTGTCTGCCTGAATTCAGATGCATGATCCCAACCTAACTACAAGGGAGGCTGGACGGGTCTTCTGGGTGAGCAGAAAGAGGACACAGTGCTTTGAACTCTGAGCATCATCTCGGCCCCACTTAGGATCCAACCTAGGGAAGCAGTCGCCCCTGGGGGGACTGGTAATTAACCAGAGCCCTGCCTAGGCAGGTGAATCTCAGGAGACCAGAGTCTAAGCTCTGCGGTCCAGCTGACCCTGGACACGTAGATTCTCCTTTCAGAGCTGTCTTTAGAGACTTCAGTTCTGATTTCCTAGAAAGGTAGGACATTTGCTAACTCCAGTGCCTACACAGAATTTCCAGCTGGAAGACTCAAGGTGTTTGTGTCTGAGGTTCTCCCTTTACACAAATGTATTTCTCCCTTCCTGAAACATTGAGCAATTAAGAAGGAATAAACATGTGTTTGTTCATTCAGCAAACATTACGTGAACACCCTTCTATGCCAGAGTCTGCTAGGTGCTAAGATTACAGAGACAATAAGCCTGGAGTTTACTCTCAAGGTAGTAAACGTACAACAGCCATCCATGGATGCTGGGATGATGGTGGGTACAGACATTCAGGGGGACAGAGGAGCGCCTCTCACCTGACCTGGGGTGGGGGTGAGGGTCAATGCAACCTCTGAGAAGAGTCAGTGCCTGAGTTGGGTCATAACTGACACACAGAACTTAGCCAGGGGGAGGGGGAAGCCAGTTCTGGCAGAGGAGCCGGGGGGACTTGTCCCCGAGGTGAGAGAGGGTGCGACGCCCTCAGAAACTACAGTGTTTGGAATGGCCGGGCATCGTCTCTGGGGTGGGAAGAGTGAACAGTGATGCTAGAAAACTGAGCCATCCCAGATGCTCAAGTGTCCTCTGGGCCACCCTGAGGAGTCTGGATTGTATTCTGAAGGATAGGGTTTAAAGCAGGAGAGGAAAGGATGGGGACCAGACCTGTGCTTTAAAAAGCCATAAGGGCAAGGGTAAGCTGGGACAAAGTGAGAGAGTGGCATGGACATATATACACTACCAAACGTACAATAGATAGCTAGTGGGAAGCAGCCGCATAGCACAGGGAGATCAGCTCGGTGCTTTGTGACCACCTAGAGGGGTGGGATAGGGAGGGAGACGCAAGAGATACGGGGACATATGTATATGTATAACTAATTCACTTTGTTATAAAGCAGAAACTAACACACCATTGTAAAGCAATTATACTCCAATAAAGATGTTAAAAAAAAAAAAAGCCATAAGGGCAGTTGGTGGAGGATGGACAAGAGGGGTGAAGCTTGGGGCAGAGGACCGATTGGGATAATCCATGTGGGAGACACGATTTGGGATGGATGTGCAGATGGAGGGGGGCAGATCTGAAAAACAACTAGAGCAACAGACGCAAAGACCCCACTGTGAAATATGGGATGGACATGGGGACATGCGGCTTTCTCAGAGAGAGGGAATTTCTGAGAATGCGTGTTTGGGCAAAGAACAATGAGTTTATTTAGGGACTACAAGGTTTAGGTACCTTCAGGCAGTAGGATAGTGGGCATGGTGCAAGGAGAGGGAGGGAGCTGGAAACGTGGCCTTGGGAGTCGTCAGTAAAGAGGTGAGAGCTGAATGAGGTCATCCAGGGAGAACGTGTAGGGTGAGCAAAGGGGAGGAAGCAGGGGCCCTCCAGGAAGCGCTGAGAAAGAGGAGCCTGCAATGCAGACGGAGAAGGAGTAGCAGAGGAAGGAGAAAAAGTGATAGAGCACGACGTCACAGAAACCACAGAGAGGAGCTTTCCAGAAGGACATCAACCACGCCAAGTGGAGGGGGGGTTCAAGGAAGACACGGCCATCAGTGTCCCATTGAATGGAACGAGCAGGTCCTTCTTGACCTCGATGAGAACAACCCCCCAAGGAGTGGCCAGAGCGAGAGCCACATGGGAGCAGGTTGCAGTGTGACCTGGAGGAGGGAAGGTGACCAGAGCCAAGTGTAGACATCTCTCCCGAGAACCTGGCTCGGAAAAGTTTGTGAGGGTGATCAAAGGGATATTTATTTTTATTTTTATGATATTAATATTGAATAGATGAAAAAACAATTTTTGTGGCATTGTGTAAGCCGTGAAGCATAGTGATGAAATAAACAGCGAACCCACCATCCAACTTAAGAGGTTACGGTCAGCTCTGCGTCAGGTAGGCCTGCAGGCTGAGCTCAGGCCTCGGGGTCATGTGCCCAGCAAGAGGGGACAGTGCCGAGGGAAGGGACAGTGGCTGCCAGGGCCCCGCCAGCCACAACCCAGGTTGGGCTGAGACTGGCTCTGGCTCTGGCTCTGTGGCGCTAGAATTTGGCCACTAGTTCTGGATGTGCCAAGACCAGACTAGGATCAGGCTTAACAGAAGTTTTAAAAATAAACTGGTCAGTTTACTAGCCAACAATTCCGGAGTCCCCAGGCTGAGCTGGACTGGTGCGATAGGAAAGTGATCCAGGAGCTGTCCCTGACCTCCAGGAGCTCACACCCCAGACAGGAAGTGGGTGGAGAATGGAAAAGAGTCACAGATGACCACATCCCTTGTGCCTGAGCCGGGGCAGGGCTGGGGATGTGATGTGCAGGCAGGCCCCACACTCACCCTCATCGGTGCCCCGGCACTGCCTATGTTCTCCCATCTGCCTCTGCTTCTGCCTTGCTGAGGCCTCTCCGACTGAGACAGCGTCTCCTGTATCTTTACATCCTTCCTGACTGAGGGTGGCTGGCAGGGAGCCAGGCAAGTCACTGTCGTGCTGAGCAAAATACGATCCCCGACGATGCAGGAGGCCCTCGGAGTATCTGGTGTGTCTAGGTCTCCATGACAACATGAGGGCCTTATGTTCGGATATTCAGGAAAGTTGTGTGGGAGATCGTCTGGTTGACAGAGGCCAGGGAGCACGGGGGGCTCTGGTGCCAGCAAGGGATTTGTAGGTTATGAAAGAAAACTCTCAAGTCCCGGAGGCTTAACACCTTCTCAGACTTGAGTCGTATACTGAGCCGCAGTCTGGAGGCTGGAGATCCCGGCCACTTTCTCACCTTCTAGTTTTCTGACCTCGAGGGAATCACTTATTCTGAATGAACTCCCTGGTCCATACAGTGGGGACGACCCTGCCACGTCACAGGCCACTCCAAGGATCAAATGAGATCTATGTCAAGGGCCTTGTTCACCACGGAGTGAGCCTACAGACGTGGCTGCTCTCACCCCATCACAGGGTTGAGGAAAACGCAGCCTGGGGGGTCCACGGGATCTTGTTTTCACAGTGGGGATGGAGGGACAAAATCCCAAGTCATAATTAGAAGGCGCACGTCTGCATCATGCAGGGCAACGTGATGCTCCCGACCAGAAAGGATTACTTTAAACTGTGACTGGGTTCAAAGCTCATTGACTATACTTTTGCCACGTGATCCCGGACAAGTCATTTATTCCTCGTCTGTGATGGGGCTAATGATCCATGCTTTGTGGGCTTGCTGTGAATATGAAATGAGCTAACGTTTCTTTGAGCATAGAGAAGGCGCTTAATGGATGCTGAAAGCCAGAGCTGTCCTCCTCGGGTCCTGGCAGGGCTGCCGTTGGTCTAAATCGCCCTCCTCTCCACTCTGTGCCAGCAGGTCCGGCCTCTGTTTCCACGTGAGGAGCAGCCGCGGCCCACCGAGATGTCCCGGCACCACAGCCGCTTCGAAAGAGATTACCGGGTGGGCTGGGACCGCCGCGAGTGGAGTGCCAACGGGACGCATGGGACCACCAGCATCTGCAGTGCCACCACCGGGGCAGGCGGCGGCACAGCCAGCAGCCTCAGCGCCCGGCCCGGCCTCCTGCCGCTACCCGGGGTGCCCTCCCGGCTGCCCACACCCGCCACGGCCCCCGCACCCTGCACCACCGGCAGCAGCGAGGCCATCCCCAGCCTCGTGGCCAGCTCTGCCTCTGCCGTCACCACCAAGGTAAGACCTGCCTGGCATCCGCTGTGAGCAGCAGCCGGGCAGAGGGGCCCGCTTCCCCCACAGCCCATTCCCTGGACGCCGCCTTCTCCAGAGCGTGGGCAGCCCTGGAGCTGCGCCGGGCACCTATTTAAGTTAACGTGCGCGTGGTTTTATTTTCCATGAAGCCTCTCTCTGTGACTAACATGGGAAGACGAGCAGGTGGCTGAGGCCCCGCGTTGTCCTCTGCCATGTTGATGAAGGGTACTTAGCCAGTGAAATGACCATGACACTCCCGGTTGGCAATACGGGTTTCCTAACTAAGCACCTGCAAACCAGGCAAGGCCCCTGGGGCACCGGTCACTTGGGTTTGGAAGAAGATCCTGAGCAGCAGTCAGTCCTAAATGGTCATAAATCTGCTACTTATTAACCAGTACTAGTACTGAGAACACTCACATCACTGTGTCCTCCAAGCCTCAGACAACCCCATGACATCAGTACTTTTGTCACCCGCCTCGCAGTTGAGCATATGGAGGCACACCGAGTCTCCGGAGCAGGTCCAAGGTGGGCCCTCCTCGGGGACCCAGGCCTCAGGGGTGTTAGTTCCTGTCATTCCCCCTCTTCTGGAGGCTGCTAAGCCTGGGGATTGAAAGCAGTTTGTTTTACCAACCGCGATATCAAAATGAAAATGTCACCAAGGCTCCTACTTAGATTCCGGATGAGCTGGGCCCCCTCACGCCGCTCAGAGCCCCTGAAGGGACAGGGGGACCCAGGCCGGTGGCAGGAAGCCCTTTCATTGCCGTCCTGTCTTCTGGGCCAGCAGGGGCTCTGCAGACCACTTTGCCTCTGCCAGCCATTCAGAGCCGCCTCCTAGGGGGGATCTCAGCATCTCAGGGCCAGTGTGCGCACGCGCATGTGTGTGTGTGTGTGTGTGTGTGTGTGTGTGTGTCTAGTCTTTTCTTTTCTGCTTTCATAAAAGTTGCGGGAGAAGTTAAAGGTTGGGGAGCCCCGGCCCCAGCCATTGTGAGGCGGCCGTGGTATTGGAAAGTCGTGCTCCAGGTGTGCCGCGCCTTTGTCTCGGTGATTTTCAAAACTCCCTTTCAGCCCCGCTTCCCATTAATAACTGCGAGTGCTGCTGGCGGAGGCCCGAGACAATGGAGCTATTGGAGGCCAGCTCGGAGCGCACTGACATCTCCTGCAGTGCCTTATTGATTTTATTTTCCTGTTATGAATACGCCGCCCCACTGAGGTGGGGAGGGAAGGGGAGAGGAGATGGAGGGTGATTTGGGCATGATACCCCCAGACCAGCCAAACACGCTCCTTCCCAGGCGCCAGCCCCCAGCACTTCTCTGAGGCGTTGACCTCTGCCCAGCGGACCCAGCCGGCTGCCCCGCCGGCCACATCCGGCAGCCGCTCAGCTAGGCCAGCTGTTGGCCATCTGGAGGATGGCAGCCTCTGGAGCTGACTGCTGGGGGCTCCAGGTGGAAGAGAGAGGAGATGGACCTGGGAGCCCACTTGATGGTTTCTGCCCTCTCAAGGATGCAGGCCTTTTTAGGGACGATGTCAGGCTGTGCCTCAGGGCTTTGGGCCCCGCCAGGCGAGGGAAGTGGCGAGGCCTCTCGGCGAGGGCCCGCCCTGCCCGCGCAGCTCCTGCTTTGCTCCCAAGCAGCTCTAACTGGCTGGGCTCCAAACCACAGCACATGGGAGGAAAGGAACCCAGCGTCAGACAGAAAACAACAGCTGGGCAAGGACTGAGCTGAGCGCCTGGGAGGGGACAGGGGCTGAAAGTTCATGCCTGTGAGGACAGCCAGCTCCTCAGCACACCTGCCCCCAAAGCCACCTCCAGCCCAGTTTCACACCTGCATGGGCTTGTCCCGTCAAGCAGAGGTGCCTGATTGCGCCTTGGATTCTTCGGGGTGCTCAGGAGAGTTGGGTGTGTGGAGGCAGGGAGGACAGCAGGCAGCAGTGTCTTCCATCCAGGGCGCTGTGGTTGAACTTGGGCCCTGGCGCCTTTCTTCCATTCTGGCCTAGCTGCCGACCCCTCAGACGCCTGTCCCCAGCCTATTTGTCTAACCCTACACGAGGACCGCATCAAGCGACAGGCAGGCCAAACAGAGGTATCTGCGGTTTCCCGGGTCAACAAGTTGCATCTTTTGAGCAGCCAAGGGCAGGCTCTTGCCCTCAGGGAGCTCATGGGCCAGAATATAATGAATCTGTGGCCTGGACAAATGACTTGAGAATGTCTCTCCCATTGAGGTTGTGGACAGAGGCAGCTTCATGGAGTGGATAAAGACAGACTTTGGAGCCAGACGGCCTAGATTTGAATTCTGTTCTATCCCGTGCTTGCTGAGTGACCCTGGATGACTTACCGAACCTCTCTGGGCCTCACTTCTGTAACACGGGAGTAGGTGGTAGTACCTGCCGTCGGAGCTGTTGTGAGGATCGTGTGAGTTAAAACTCGTGTAAAGTGCTCAGAACAGAGCCAAGCCCGGCAAACAGTCCTATAGAGGTGCTATCGTCGTCACCATTGTCACAGTCACCCAGAGGAGGCCTATGGGACAAGGCCATGCCCCTGTAAGGAAAGGTGATCATTGCTGGCCTCACCAAGAGGAAAAGGTATGTCTTCAGATAAGAAACAGGAGCTAGGCCCCAAGCAGGCGGGGAGAGGAATTGGGTTTGTGAGTGGTTAGGCCTCAAGCTGACCTCGTGACATGACCAAGGTGACAAGACAGCAAGATGGGCTGGAGGGAAGAGGGCATCTAGCGGGCCTCAAACTGAAACTGAGTCAGCACCACCTGGTGATAGATGACGGAAGGGAGGTGTGTTAAAGCCTTTGTCAGCCTTGGGCCCTTTCCTCCAAGAAAGCCCAGTATCTACACAGGGTCAAGGCCCCCCTCTGGTGGAAGACTGGGGGAGACAGCGAGCTGCATGGAAGCCAGGAGCAGGGCTGTGTGTTCCTCTTCCTTTTGTGTGTTCCTGCTGCCCCGCGTCTAGTAAAGGCTGCTTGAATGTACTGGCCTGGCTTCCTCACTGAGGGGTCTAGTGCCCCATGTGAGCCCGAGCCACCCCTGAGGACGCAGGGAAAGGTCCGCAACAAGGTAACAAGTGTCAACACTGTCAGGCCTTAGCACCCCCAGTGGGCTGGGCGTGGAGCAGGCCGAGTGTCACGTGCTCTGGGGGCTGCGGGCGTCTCCGGGGGCGGGGGGGCTGGCTACGCTCCCAGCAGCTAGTTACGTAAGCGATGACAAGTCTTCCTGTCACTGCTGCCTTCAGGCCTGAGTTGATCTTTTGGCTTCTTCCTTTTTCTGGGCCCTGAGGATTTCTTGCATGTTTTAGATGAAAGGCCAAAAGGCCAATTGGATGAGCACAGACTCCTGGGCCACTGAGGCATGAGGAGGGCCTGGCCAGATGCACACACACACACACACACACACACACACACACACACACACACCACACACTCTGTCATTGCTCAGACCAATAAACTGCTTCCCCGGAGCCTAGATCAGCTCTTGATCCTCTAGGACACAAATTCCCAGAGCCCAGGAGGAGTAGAATAACCGTGCCACACAGCCCCTCTATTCTGTAGATCAGAAGAGTGAGACTTGGGACTTCCCTGGTGGTGCAGTGGTTAAGAATCTGCCTGCCAAGGCAGGGGACACGGGTTTGAGCCCTGGTCCGGAAGATTCCCACGTGCTGCAGGGCAACTAAGCCCATGTGCCACAACTACTGAGCCTGTGCTCTAGAGCCCGCGAGCCACAACTACTGAGCCCACGTGCCACAACTACTGAAGCCCACGTGCCTAGAGCCCGTGCTCCGCAACGAGAGAAGCCACCACAATGAGAAGCCCGCGCACCGCAACGAAGAGTAGCCCCCACTCGCCACAACTAGAGAAAGCCAGCGCAACAACGAAGACCCAATGCAGCCAAAAATATAATTAATTAATTAATTTATTTATTATTTTTAAAAAAGAAAAAAAACAGAACCTAATATTTAAAAAAAGAAGGGTGAGACCTGGAGAAAGAAAGACTTGCAGAGGTCACCCAGGGAGTGAGAAAGAACCAGGCTGGACTGGCTCCTTTCCCCACCCCAGGCTGCCTGGTATAGTGCATTCAGCATGGTAACCAATACTGCAGCATTGTTATAGTAACTTTTCCCATCCTCTCATCCACCTAGCTGGCAGCAAACACTGAATTTTGACAAGAAAATGGGTATATATATATATATATATATATATATATATATATATATATACATCTTGTGTTTTACACAGAAAAATTTAGGCCAAAGATTATGTCAATTCAACATGGCACAGCTGGTGAGAGCTTCAAGCCCTTGAGTCAAACAGAACTGGGTTTGAACCTTACCTCTGCCATGTAGGAGCTGAGTAAGTCTCTGAGCCTCAGTTTCTTTGTCTATAAGATGGGAATGATAATAGTATGTTTCTCATGGAAATGTTGTGAGGATTGGTTAAATTAATATGTGTAGAAAAGCATAGAACTGTACCTCACTTGTTAAACACTCAATAAAAGTTAATTTTAAAAAGGTAAATCAGAGAGTGGGTCCGACCAAATATCCATACATTTGGGGGAGACCAGTCCGCCTGTTGGGTGGAGCCAGTAGGCTAAAGGGAAGCTCATTGGATATTCCCACCCCCACCCCTGACCCCGGCACTCTGGGCTCCAGGCAGTCATGGCTCCATGGGGAGGGTGCTGCTGAGAAGCAGAAATGAGACTCGGCAGCCAGGCCTGTTTATGGGATGGAAAGGAAGCACCGCTGCCCTGCAATTGCTGCTGCATGAGATTTAAATTATTCTCAGCAAACCTGCTTGACAGATGAAACAGAAAAGGGATGGCTTCATAAAACGCAATTTTGTTCTCGAAAGAACGGACTTTGCAGAATCCTCGCTGATGTCTGTGAAATGTATTGGGGGATTTTTCTCCTTGTGGTCAGGAGCATTCATTGCCTGATGGGAGCTGAAACATTCCCATCGTTCCCTGAAGCTAAGCCCTTGAAAATAAATCTGGGCCGGGAAGAGAGAAACTTAGCCCGTGTCACAGGCCCAGGGAAAACCGAAAGGGGCCATGGAATCTGCAGGCTCCATCCTCGCACCAAACACCCAGATTTTTGACATTTATGGGCATTTGGGCCTTTCAAGGGGAATGTCTGTCATCATAGCAATGACCCTGGAGACAACATCTTCCTCGTGCATCCTAAATTCTTTGGAGAATTGTTCCTCTTGGGGGAGATGATCTGGGGTTTCTATGAAGAATCATGTGAATGACAACAAGGCCCCATGCAGCGGGGTCCCCCCTCTCCTGTGATTCCGGGGGGTCCAAGAATGGATAAAGGCAGCTTTTGCACAAAGTGAGAAGCAGACCTCTCTTTCCTCTTGTATTCACATTGAAAACCAAAGGCTACTGAGCGGGCTCAGCTGGGAAAATCACTCAAGCCCCTTTTGTAGCGCATTTCCAGACTGTGCGTGCTTCTCTCTAGAAGGCTCTTTCTTGCCCCATGAATGAGAACTTGTGGTCTCCCTTGTGATACATTATCAGGCACTGATAATGCATCATAAGACAACTTGTGCATGTTCGTACCCAGCGAATGGGCTTTTTTTTGTTGTTGTTGTACGCGGGCCTCTCACTGTTGCAGCCTCTCCAGTTGCGGAGCACAGGCTCCAGACGCGCAGGCTCAGCGGCCATGGCTTACGGGCCCAGCCGCTCCGCGGCATGTGGGATCTTCCCGGACCGGGGCACGAACCCGTGTTCCCTGCATCGGCAGGTGGACTCTCAACCACTGCGACACCAGGGAAGCCCCAGCTAATGGGTTTGACCTGCACTTTAAGTGGCAGCCACAGTTTGGGTTGTATTTTCATTGACTTAAAGCCTATCCATTGGTCACCAAGTGTATGCAAAATTGAA